TGTGGAGGCGGGAGGGGCAGGGGCCCCGCGGGCCGCCGTCGCGCTGCCCCCCGCGGCGTGGGCTCCGTCGCGCCCCGGCGGCGATAGCTGCGGTCGGCGGGCCGGGGGTTGGCGGCGTCAGCTCGGGGGCTGACTGGCCCCACTCGGGCCCCCTCTCGCCTGTGCGGATGGGCAGGGGAGGGCGGCCGCTGCGTGGCCGCCGCGACGGGGCTGTCGAGGGGCACCGGCGCCGGGGAAGCTCTGGGCTCGGTCGCCTGAGCAGAAGGGCAGGCGGGGGGCTGCTGCCGGGGGCTTGGGAGTTGACCTGCCTCCTGCCGTGTGAACGGAGCCGAGGGAGTGAGCCGGCAGGTGTGTTCCATGGGCACCGCCAGGCGTGCAGGAAGTGTTTCGGCCAGTGATGATGGCTGCATGCTGCTGTGGAGCAAGAAGCGGGAGTCCGGGCTTGGTCCGCTGCTCCCGTTTGGGTGAGACCTGGCTCAGCAAGCCCTCCTCACAGCGGCTTGGCGCTTGCTCTGGGGGGCGATCCAGCGGGGGCGAAAGGACCCGTGCGCCAGCCTGTGGCTCTTCCTGGCATACCCTTCTGTGCGAGAAGCAGCGCCCACAAATGCTTGGGGTGGTGGGGCCTTTGGCGTGTGGCTTTTCTCCATGTGGCTCTCACATCTGTTGGTGCAGCTTCTCCGTACTGGCAGCGAATGCGTCAGGCCCGTTTCGCGACGTAGGTCCCACCGGGCAGTGGCTGGGCCTGCAAATAAAGGCAGCCCGGAAACCCGCCTTTCTGCTTCACTCCCATTTCGACGTGCCGCTCGAGAGGTGTGAGAATGCTGTGCTGGCCCTCTCAGGTGGGACCGGATTTTTATTCCTGTGCACTGAGCAGGTGCACCTGTGGAGCGCGCATGTGCTGGCCGATGTGGGATGTTCTCCCTTCACAATTTGTCTGCTACTTACTGAGAAGTATCTTCAGGCGGAGATCAGCGAAGGTGACGTGGCCTTTGGAACGGAGCGCCACGGGGAGGCTGCGTGGTGACTCGTGGGATGGTCCCCCTGGACGAGGGGGATGGAGGCCCCACTGTGGCACCTGCTGGGAGGGTGGCGTGTCGGCCCATGCGCGGAGGAGGTGGAGTGAGGTGTCTTACAGCAGCGGTGCTTCCCCTCTTGGAAAGGGGGGTGCAAAAGGGCCGCTCATTTGGTCACAGGCGGATCAGGCGGCTCGCCGGGCCCTGGCCTGGGCTCCCGGGTGGCGGAGACGGGAGCGGGGCATTGGCCTGCACTAGGACGCGGAGCCGCTCTGCCCGCCGAGCGCTGGCGTGCTGGGCGCCTTTGGCCCATTGGCGGCACTCCTCAGGCCTGCGGGCGCTCCGGGAACGCAGCCGCTCCCCACGCGGGTCCCCGAATGGAGCTGGGGCCCCCTGAAGGCGGGACCGGAAGCGTCCCGGCTGCCTGGCAAGAGGCAGCGGCAGGCCGGCTCAGCTCGGACGCCGCGCCTGTGCTCAGAGTGGGCACGTGCAAAGAGTTAAGACGTGCTGCAGCTTCCGGGGAATACCGGCACACGCGGCGTGACACGCATTCTCCCTTCCCACGTGGCTCCATTGGATGTGTGGATGGCTCGTAGGGGAATTTGGCCTGTTGTCGACCTGCTTCGTGATCGCGCCAGCCCACTTCTAAGGAAAACAAAACTGGACTGCGCGTGGGAGGGTCCTGTTTGGCTTAAAGGTATGCAGATGACTCTCCGGGCAGGTGTCCTTAAATAAACAGCCACTCCTTGCAGTGTTTGCCTCCCAAACATTCCCGCTGGAGGCACCTGAAAGTGGGGCGGGCACACGGTGCAGGGGAGCGTGGTGCGGCATTTTCTGGGCTCTGCAGCCTGCGTTAAGTGTCGGGGCCCTGCCTTGACCTGCCGCAGCTGCCCGGGGACACCCTGGTCAGACTGATGGCGGCGAAGGTGCGAAGTGAGCGCTTCCCCAGGCACTGTGCTTTGCACACCATAATGTGCATAACCTGGACTGGCTGAAAGATGGCATGCCCGCTCCTTTTTCCTGACTGGATTTTTATAACATTTTTTCAGTAGAATGAATATGGGCCAAACACGACCTGAAAAAGTCAAAGAAAGCAATCAAACGCAGTCTAATTCCGCTCGGATACACGTGCAGAACCGCAGCTCCTTCAAGCAGGCCTAGTTTCTATGAGGGGGCTGTCAAATTCTTTTAGGGTTCTGAGCTGGATGTGCGATCAGCACAACACGACATTATGTGTTGTGATTATGTATCCTCACCATCACACAAATTTTTTATTTTGCATCATGT